AGCCTCATTCTATACATTATCGTAGCCTCATTCTAAACTTATACATTATCGTAGCTTCATTCTATACTTCTACATTACCGTAGCCTCATTCTAAACTTCTAAAAAAATCATGCGTTTCATAAAAGTAATAAAGACATTACATTTGGAAATCTCCGCATTTGTTTTCCATTTATTGCTCTCTTCGGCGCTGTCGATATCCGTGTAAACGCCGTGCTTCGCTTTGTATCTTCTTGTTCTCGCTGTCGTTTTCATTGGGGGATGGGAGGGGGGGGGGGGGGGGGGTCGACATTTATTTATATCGTTACATTCGTTAGGAGTTTTGATTTGGTATTCAGCTTAGAGGGACCGATCTTCCATCATGTTTCTTTAATCTTGCAGTGTGAGGGAACTTTGCCTGATCTGAGTTCGTCCTATACGGGCCTGCCATTGTTCAATTATAATTTTAAATTAATCCTTTATGCACGGGACAGTTCTAGTTCTCTCATTTCCTCGGGAATTTGTCTCTGATACATGACGCTCTCCTTGGTAAATGCTGCTTCCTTTGGCTGTTAATTAATTGAAATATAGTTACAAATGAATTGAAAAATGAAACTCTTCGAGAGGACTGTTAAGAATCCTGAGTGTCGTCGCAGTGAAATAAGACGTTAGTCAAAGAAATGAGATCGAAGAAAGTGATATTTTTCACACGTTGCGCAATATTTACGGAATTGTTTATTCTGTAGGCTCTAGATCTACACCTTTTATTTCTATTTTATATTTCTGCGTGGACGTTATTAAGAAGCGTTGATCAAAGTCATGAAAAATGTAATTTTACAGTTTCCAAAGACACTATGGCTTCGGAAATCATATCCCTTTTGCAGCCATTCTCTCGTATTATCCTACTGAAACAAGGCGACTGCCACCTGCTTTAATCGCATATACCTCGATCTCTATTCAAGATAGATATATGTTTTCTTCATCATAAGCAAGACATAGTGAACAAGCATTAAGATTAAACCCATAACTCCATACGTTCAAAGATTGAAAAAAAAAAGAGGATTGATGAGCGCCTGATCCTACCGCGTTCTGACACATAATTGTCTTTTCTCGTTCGCGTTCTCACCTAACAACGATAATATTGTGGTTGGTGTATTTGTTCACCTTTCGCAATCGTTGCAGGCGAAAAGGCCTCACCTCCACTTCTCAATCCTTCTTCCTCTGAAAGTTTCCACCCCCCTTCCCCAATATGGATGGTGGTGGTGATGGAAAACCAGTAGTTTTGGTGCTCATGCTTACAATGTACCGTTTATTCGGGCTATTCACTGCATT